TTGGCCAGGATGGTCTGGATCTCCCGACCTCATGATCTGCCTGCCTCGGCCTCCCAAAGTGCTGGGATTACAGATACGAGCCACTACACCTGGTCTTTTTTTTTCCCCCTTGAGATCAAGTCTTGCTCTGTCACCCAGGCTGGAGTACAGTGAGGCGATCTCGGCTCACTGCAACCTCTGCCTCCCGGGTTCAAGCAATTCTACTGCCTCAGCCTCCTGAGTAGCTGGGATTACAGGCACCTACCACCACACCCTGCTAATTTCCGTAGTTTTAGTAGAGATGGGGTTTCACCATGTTGGCCAGGCTGGTCTCGAACTCCTGACCTCGTGATCTGCCCACCTTGGCCTCCCAAAGTGCTGGGATTACAGGCAGGAGCCACCAAACCTGGCCAAAATTATTATTTTCTAATTAGCCAGGCATGGTGGCATGCACCTGTAGTCCCAGCTACTCAGGAGGCTGAAGCAGGAAGATTGCTTTGGCCCAGGAGTTTAAGGTTACTGTGAGCTATGATTGTGTCACTGTACCTCAGGCTGGGTGATACAGTGAGACCCTGCATTTAAAAGGAAAAAAAAAAGCCTTTTAAGAATGTAAGAGTTTAAGATATTACCACTGATAATCATATTTCACTTTTTTCTTGAGTCCTCTGACTTCAATAAATGTATTGTCACCAGAATGACATGACCTGACCTGTCCCCTATTTCTAAACTTAACTAAATCATGCTAAATCATGATCATTTCATACCTGTTACTATTTCTTCCTCTCCCTGGCCAGTCTGAACTAGTTTAGTTATATTTTCATGACAACATATTCTAGGAAATGTCAACATGTTTATTAGTATGAACTGTTACTGTTTCCAATAAACAGGCTACTGTACAATCCTTGGGTATAGTTTTTGTTACTATACAGAATTTTTTTTTTTTTGAGACCGAGTTTTACTCTTGTTGCCCAGTTTGCCATCTGGGCAACCTCCATCTCCTGGGTTCAAGCCATTCTCTTGTCTCAGCCTCCCACGTAGCTGGGACTACAGGCACCTGCCACCATGCCCAGCTAATTTTTTTTTTTCTTGAGATGGAGTTTCACTCTTGTTGCCCAGGCTGGTGTACAATGGCATGATTTTGGCTCACCTCAACCTCCACCTCCTGGGTTCAAGAGATTCTCCTGTCTCAGCCTCCTGAATAACTGGGATTACAGGCATGTATCATCATGCCCAGCTAATTTTGTATTTTTAGTATAGATGAGGTTTCTCTATGTTGGTCAGGCTGGTTTCAAACTCCCAACCTCAGGTGATCTGCCAGCCTTAGCCTCCCAAAGTGCTGGGATTACAGGTGTGAGCCACCGTGCCCAGACTAATTTTTGTATTTTTAGTGGAGACGGGGTTTCATCATGTTGGCCAGGCTGGTCTTCAACTTCTGATCTCAAGTGACCCACTCGCAGGATTATAAGCAATCTTTATTTTCATGCTTTTCTAAGTTTTATAAATTTGTTTCTGATTATACAGAAAGTAAGTGTTATTTATCTAAAGCAATATATCATATACATAAACTATAGTATCTGTCCCAACATACTCTCTCTCTAATATATGTATACTATATGTATATATATGTATACCATATATATGTATATTAGAGAGTGTTGGGACAGATGTTGTAGTTATCTGTAATATATCTATATAGTTTGTGTATATCTGTATATATACATACACACATACGTATACATATAAACTCAACATAGTGAGACCAGTCTCTAAATACATATATATATAATTTCCCATCTCTAAATATATATATACATATATATATATATACACACACACACACACACATACATATATACAGAGAGAGACTGGGGTTTCACTATGTTGCCCAGGCTGGTCTTGAACCCCTGGGCTCAAGCAATTCACTCACCTCAGCCTTCCAAAGTGCTGGGACTACAGGTGCATGCCATCATGCTCAGCTAATTTTTTATTTTTTAATTTTTTGTAGAGAAGGAGAGTCTCCCTATGTTGCTCAGGCTGGTTTCAAACTCCTGGGCGCAAGCAATTCTCCTGCATCAGTCTCCCAAAGCTCTGGGATTACAGGAGTGAGACACAGCCCACAGCCTATTTGTAACAGAACTGAGTTCTATTTCACAAGGCCAGAACATGTTACTATTTTAAAAGTTCTATTTCACAAGGCCAGAACACGTTACTATTTTAAAGCTTTACCCAAAGTATCAAGAATTTTTGCCAGACTATTTTTGATCCTTAATATTAAAAAGTGATTCATAATTATATTTCTAAAACTCAATTTCTTATCTACAATTATATTTATGTATGGAAAAAATCTCAAATGATATATGCCAAAATAGTAACACTGGTGAAATAACAGGTGATTTTTATTTATTTACTTTTTGGTGTTTTCTCATTTATTTTGTAACAAGTATGTAATCTTTTATATTCTAATTTTCTTACTGTGGGAGAAGGTGCTGACTTTGATGAAAATTAATACTTCTACACTTTGGGGCAGGAGCATAAATGTATACATACACTATTTCTGGAGTTCCTCACCTTGAATTTTACTGTCACCCTCTCTCAAATGTTTTCCTTCTTGGTAAATTATATGAAATACTAATAGTAATCAAGCTCTACTGGTTAACCTAGGATCCAAACCATAACTGAAGTTAGATCAAATTAAAAACAACCAAACCCAAACTTGACTGTCACTATTTATTAAAAAATAATGTAACTTCTTGTTTTAGAGGAAAGGAACCATCGCCTACAGTGAATGACTCACTAGGCTGATTATCTTGTATATATAAAGTACCAAATAGTTATTACAAGAGGTATTTGGGACTGAGATTCAGAAATCTATAACTGTACTATGAGCCTGACTCTTCCAAGGTGAGTCTCACTTGTTCTGCAAGAAACCTCAGCTTTAGGGGCAACTAATTCCTTACAACATTTCAGTTCTGGACACGTCCAGGTGGGAAAGAATGGGCAATGGATTCCGGAAGAACATAATTTTTCTTTTTCTTTTTTTTTTTTTGAGATGGAATTTCCGTCTTGTTGCCTACACTGGAGTGCAATGGCGCCATCTCAGCTCACTGCAACCTCCGCCTCCCAGGTTCCAGCAATTCTCCTGCCTCAGCCTCCCAAGTAGCGGAGACTATAGGCACGCACCACAACGCTTGGCTACTTTTTTATATTTTTAGTAGAAACGGGGCTTCACCATGTTAGCCAGGTTGGTCTCAAACTCCTGACCTCAGGTGATTCACCCGCCTTGGCTTCCCAAAATGCTGGGATTACAGGCATCAGCCACAGTACCCAGCTGGGGTTTTTCAATCCCAACCATTCAATGTTAAGTTATAAAACTTAATTCTTAATTTCTTGACCTCTAAAACAGGAATAAGAAAAACCATCTAGTAATGTTGCTCTAAATATTGGAGATACTATATGTTTAGTAGGTAGCCTGTAGTAGGTACTCAAAATTATTTTAACTGGTTTGCTTATAATAGTTCTTTCTTCTGATGCTAATGCTTAGAGATTCCACTGTACTTAAGATAAAACACATATCTGAAAATAACTGTTTGCCGGTGGGTATACAGATTGGCCAAATGCTGGAAGCTAGGACGTTGCCAGCACCCTCCTTTCCTGCTAGTATCATCTGGGTCTACTTCATATCACTTTTGTTACTGCTATCGCAACTATCCCAAAAGTAAGAGGGTCAGGCTGCCCAGCTTATAAGGTTTCCATTTCCATGTACTTATTTCTTACTCCCATGGGTTTTTTTTTTTTCTAATTTTTTTTTTTTTTTTTAGACAGAGTCTCACTCTGTTGTCCCAGCTGAAGTGCACTGGTGTTATCTCAGTTCACTACAACCTCTGTCTCCCAGGTTCAAGCAATCTTCCCACTTCAGCCTCTTGAGTAGCTAGGATTACAGGCATGTGCCACCATGCCCAGCTAATTTTTGTATTTTTATTAGAGACAGGGTTTCACCACATTGGCCAGACTGGTCTCAAACTCTTGACTTCAGGTGATTGACCAGCCTCAGCCTATCAGACTGTTGGGATTGTAGGCGTGAGCCACTGTGCCCAGCCCTTAGTCCCATTTCTTTCAGGACCAGCCAACAGATAAAGTTAGTAGATGGAGAACTGCTGGTTCATTTTATTGATTTTCAAACTGGCAACAGAGCTGATGCAAAAGCAGACTAGGAAGAATACTTTCATTTAGGAAAATACTAATGAGTCAAGTTGAATTTTTCATTTCCAAACAGAAACCCAGGAGAAATCTGCATATTGTATTCACAACAATTTAGCCTTTTCTTTTAGGGAAACGTTTTACTGTCAAGAAATCTATCCTCCATCTGCCCCTCTCCTATCTTCTCTGCGGTAAGGGAGCAACCCTCCATTTACCACCTGTGACAAATGCAGTTTCCAGTATCATGTGAGGAAAAGATACCTTAATCACAAAGAGACAGCTCTATCCAGTAACCTACAATCATAAAACAGGTACCTGGCAGGCAATTTCTGAACATGATAGCAAATAATTGTTATTTATTTATTTATTTTTTGGAGATGGAGTCTCACCTTGTTGCCCAGGCTGGAGTGCAGTGGCATAATCTCGACTCACTGCAACCTCCACCTCCAGAGTTCAAGCGATTCTCTTGCCTCAGCCTCCCGAGTAGCTGGGATTACAAGTGTGCACCACCATGCTTGGCTAGTTTTTGTATTTTCAGTAGAGATGAGATTTCACCATGTTGGCCGGCTGGTCTCAAACTCCTGACCTCAAATGATCTGCCTGCCTCAGCCTCTCAAAGTGCTGGAATTACAGGTATGAGCCACTGTGCCCATGGCCAATGACTGCAAATCATTTTAAATGAACTTGATCCAATGACCAAACCAACAGTAAGAACTCATTATTAGCTATAATAAGAGATCCACTTCTACAAGACCACCACCACAGAAAAGGAAATACTGCAGAGATCCTGTACAGAGCCTCCTTGTTGCTTGTACAGTCCTTACCTGACAGTCAAAGTCCTGGAAGTTTCGTGTACCATTCTGTCAACAGAAGACAGAAAACACAGTCAGTTTTCTTTTCTTTTTTTTTTTTGAGACGGAGTTTCGCTCTTGTTACCCAGGCTGGAGTGCAATGGCGCGATCTCGGCTCACCGCAACCTCCGCCTCCTGGGTTCAGGCAATTCTCCTGCCTCAGCCTCCTGAGTAGCTGGGATTACAGGCACATGCCACCATGCCCAGCTAATTTTTTGTATTTTTAGTAGAGACGGGGTTTCACCATGTTGACCAGAATGGTCTGGATCTCTCGACCTCGTGATCCACCCGCCTCGGCCTCCCAAAGTGCTGGGATTACAGGCTTGAGCCACCGCGCCCGGCTTACAGTCAGTTTTCCCACATGGTTTCCCCACATGTGCAGCAAATTCAGTTCACAGTGAAAGCTGTGCATGTACATCCTCTTGGTTGCCATAAAACTGAAATGGTTCTCATCAGAAGATTTCAGAGGCAGGGTGGGTTATGAACATGTGTTAATAAAGGTTAAATCTTCAGAAGTGAGATTATGCTTTAGTAGCTTACTGGGAAGATAAAGGGAAGGGGTTTAGTTTTCTAGCAAGCTTGTAACTTCTTGCCTTCGCACCTAAGGAGAGCAGTGAGAATGTGTAGGAAGAGGGTAAAACATGGATCACAGTCTGGAAGCACACCTTGAACATACAAAGTAGCTGGGAGGAAGGGAGTTGGAGGCCAATGTAGAGAAGGGTGAAGGAGACCAGGTGTGAGGGTGCCCAGAACTGGGAATTAAAGAAAGGATTAGGAAGAGGACAAAGACATGGATGGATCAGAAATGGAAGTCTTGAAATCTAACAGAGAAGAAAGGCAATGTCACTGAAGGAGGGAAAGAAAGACAAAACAAAGCTCTTAATACACTGGCCTATCTGTTGCATCCTATGAAATCACTGACAGGGAAAAAGGATAAGTCACTGAATCATTTAAAAAGTAAAACACAGTCAAAAAATCCAAGGAGAATTCACCAATCTTCTAAAAAGGATTATAATAATGACTGATTGAGAAAAAAAAAATCAATGGCAATAATTCAGAAGCATTTCCGTAGCATTCCATGTGCCAGAATTCCAAGTCATAAGAGTATAAAAAAGGGGCAGTGGCTCACGTCTGTAATACCAACACTTTGGGAGGCCGAGGAAGGCCAATCACCTGAGGTCAGAAGTTTGTGGGCAGCCTGGCCAACATGGTGAAACCCTGTCTCTACTAAAAATATAAAAATGAGCCAGGCATGGTGGTGTGCATCTGTAATCTCAGCTACTAGGGAGGCTGAAGCAGGAGAATTGCTTGAGCCCGGGAGGCAGAGGTTGCAGTGAGCCAAGATCGCGCCACCACACTCCAGCCTGGGTGACAGAGCGAGACTCTATCTCCAAAAAAAAAAAAAACAAAAAAAGGTAACAAGTAATGTATTTGGGAAGAAAATAAAACTTCTATTTGATTTTTCACAAAGCATAACCCCTTTCCTGAAAAAAGTCTCCCATTATGTAGAAACTGATTTATCATTACTATTTATTCTATCTCTACAGTGACTTCCAGAAGGTTCCTAACAGCTTCCCAAAAACTCCCTCTCCAGAGATACCTAGATATCTGATCCCAAGGAAATACTAAGTAGTCCCATTCCCCTTCAACAAGATCCTCCTAGAAATAATTCTTTGGGGCTGGGCATGGTGGCTTATGCCTGTAATCCCAGCACTCTGGGAGGCTGAGGTGAGTGTATCACCTGAGGTCAGGAGTTCGAGACCAGCCTAGCCAACATGGTGAAACCTGTCTCTAATAAAAAACTACAAAAATTAGCTGGACATGGAGGCAGGTGCCTGCAATCCCAGGTACTCGAGAGGCTGAGGCAAGAGAATTGCTTGAACCTGGGAGGCGGAGGTTGCAGTGAGCCAGTATTGAGCCACTGCGCTCCAGCCTGGGTAACAGAGTGAGATTCATCTCAAAAAAAAAAAAAAAAGAAATAGTTCTTCAAGATCCAATCAACTACACTGGCAGGACAAAACAGAGAGGTTAAAAAACACAGCCCAGGACAGGCATGGTAGGTCACACCTATATTCCTAGCACTTTGGGAGGCCGAGAGGCGGATCACCTGATGTTGGGAGTTGGAGACCAGCCTGACCAACATGGAGAAACCCCTGTTCCCCCCATGTCTACTAAAAATACAAAATTAGCCAGGCATGGTGGTGCATGCCTGTAATCCCAGCTACTTGGGAGGCTGAGGCGGGAGAATTGCTTGAACCTGGGAGGCGGAGGTTGTGGTAAGCCAAGATTGAGCCATTGTACTCCAGCCTGTGCAACAACAGCGAAACTCCGTCTCAAAAAAAAAAAAAATAAAAAAGCCACAGCCCAGTGTGGTTCAAACACCCAAAGAAACAAACTATCTACTCCTTAAGTGAAACTAGTAGATCCCACTGGGACTACCTAGAGCTCCACTATCCAGTATGGTAGGTATTAGCCCTATGTACAATTTAGGTTTAAATTCAATACAATAAAAATCTTGGTTTCTCAGTTACATTAGCCATATCTCAAGTGCTCATACTCTACTCTTGGGCAGTACGGACACAGAACATTTCCATTGCTGTAGAAACTCCTACTGGACAGCAGTGATCTAGAAGCCAAAAGCTTTTGGAGAAATAAGGTTATGAATGAACAGCCCTTGTCTTTCTAAAGGTGGCAGTAATGTCACAACAGATTACCAATCATAGAGAGACTGCAGATGCCACTGAGAATGGGCAAGAGAATGGTAGAGACCATAGTCTAATGTATTATTCCTAATAAGAAACTGAATTCACAAAAAGTCTGATGCAGTCACGGCATGGAAAGACAACTAAGATACTGTGTAGATGGGACTGGGCAGCACATTTCCTAGGAATATTGCTATTGATTAAAAGGAGCATAGTGTTCTATGGCTCCCACTAGCCCCATGAAATGTCTGAGGACTTCTTCAGACTAATAATTGTGTTTAATTTACAGATAGACTACAAGAAGCAAAAGGAAGGGCCCCCTAATGGATTAGGACAGATGGTTTTAATAGGATATAAATGGCCAGCCAGTGAGTTTCTAGTTCCTGATTCAACTCGTACCTTCCTCCAAATATACCACAGGGCCTGATATAAATCAGGTGCTTGATACAGATTTATAAAATGAATAAGCCAACATAAAAAAAATTAAATGTTGAGGAAATTCTGTTAAAACTTTGGGTCAAAAAAAAAACAAAAAAACTTCTACATTCCAGCTTAAGATATGATATGGTTGTAAGAGGGAAAAAGAGGGAAAAGAAAGTAGGATACAAAATAGTCCTTACAGTTTGACCTTGGCTACATTAAAATATGCATTAAAAAAGACCAGGCGTTGTGGCTCTGCCTATAATGCTAGCACTTTGGAAGGCGGTGGGCAGATCACTTGAGCTCAGTAGTTCAGGACCAGCATAGGCAACATGGCGAAACACCATCTCTACAAAAAATGCAAAAACAATTAGCCAGGCATGGTGGTGCATGCTTATAGTCCCAGCTATTTGAGGAGCTGAGGCAGGAGGATCACTTAAGCCTGGGAGGTTGAGGCTGCAGTGAGCTGAGATCACATCACTACACTCCAGCCTAGGTGCAAAGTGAGATCCTGTCTCATAAACAAAAGACAAAAACATTAACAATAGCAGCTGTTTCTGCATAGAGAGGTTATGGGTAATTATAATTTTCTTCATATTACCTACAATGAGCATGTACTTCCCTTTCTGAAATTAGAAAACTAGAAAAAAGGGTCTAGAAAACCGTAGAAAAAATACCAAATTTAGTATTTTGTAATATAAGATTTAAATGGCCAGGTGCAGTGGCTCATGCCTGTATTCCCAGCATTTTGAGAGGCTGAGGTGGGCAGATCATGAGGTCAGGAGTTCAAGTCCAGCCTGGCCAACATGGTGAAACCCTGTCTCTACTAAAAATACAAAAATTAGCTGGACATGGTGGCATGCACCTGTAATCTCAGCTATTCAGGAGCCTGAGGCAGGAGAATTGCTTGAACTGCAACCCGAGAGGCAGAGGTTGCAGTGAGCCAAGATCGTGCCACTGCATTCCAGCCTGGGATACAGAGCAAGACTCTGTTTCAAAAAGCAAAACAAAACAAAACAAAAAACCAAAAATCAGCCAGGCATGGTGGCACAGGCCTGTAGTCCCAGCTACTCAGGAGGCTGAGTCAGGAGAACCATTCAAACCAGGGAGGCAAAGGTGCAGTGAGCCGAGATAGTGCCACTGTACTGAAGCCTGGGCAACAGAGCAAGACTCCGTCTCAAAAAAAACAAAAACAAAAACAAAAACAAAAAAAACTCAAAAAGATTTAAAGATTGACCTAACCTTTTGAGGAACTATTTATAATGATGTCTTTCTAAACAGACCATATTACAGCTTCGATCTAACAGAATATCCAGAGGTTTCTTTAGCAATTATTTAGAAAGATTGGAGAAAATCACTCAAGCCTGAATGAAAATCTCAGTCATAGAATACAGAGCCACATATTCTGATGAGCTTTTTGGGAAGCATCTGTCACTGTATGCATGAATTCTCCTTCCTTAGAATGATGTGACCATGACCATGAGGCATTGTGTAAAGCCCTTAGCTCCTGACATGAGCACAAAGGGGCATGCCAAAAACAGAAAGGCAATAATACCCTCAAGAACCTCAAGCTATGTCTTAGTTGTTGAGTATCTAGCAGAAAAAAACTCTGTGTTCTCAATCCCATGTACACAGCTATACACCCAAATAAAAAGTACCAATAACTGAGCAAAGACTGTTTAGCATGTTTTCCTTGTGTGTGTGTGTGGTTTTTTTTTTGTTTTGTTTTGTTTTGTTTTGTTTTTGAAAGAGGGTGGGGGAGAGAGAGAGATCCGCGACTCTTGGAGAACTGCTTCTAGCTTCGTGAGTAATCACCGTGGAAAATGGGAATGACTGAGTCTATCTGACAGTGTTTGGCTCCAGAGTTTCTAAATGAAGATCATTAGC